CAAGATAATTTGGTGGCAGATCCATCTTGGTAGAACTGCTGAATGTTTTCAGTCTCATATATGTTCTCACAGGTGTCTCGTGGCTGTGACATTATTGTTTTTTAATTCTGAGTGAATTTTAAGTCCTCTCCTTATGTTTCTTGTAGGTAAGTTCACAATATCTTTAATAACTTCCTATGTGAGTGCATTGAAAATTCATTCCATTCAGCTAAATCAGGGGATTATATTGTGTTCTGTGCATAGTATATGAGAAATTCCCATTTCTAATTTTGAGGCTTAAGCATCACCAGGTTTCGTCTGTGTGGTATTATACGTGTAATTATGGTGGCATTTGGCTTTATCAGAGTGCATGAGTGTGTTTATTAAGTCAGGAGGACTGAGGTTAGAGGATGAGCAAGGAGAGATCCTTGTAAGACTCCCTTATCCCTGGTCAGATTAGGAGGAGGTAGATTATAAGTAGGACAGCTAACTTTGGAAAGTATAAAGAATATTTTTAAGATCACATAGTTTGTAGGGACTCATCAGTTTTGATTTTCCCGGAAGTTTTTGGGAGGCCAAAAAACCTTGGGGCTTGTTTTGGAAAGTTTTTGTTGTTGTTCGTTTGGGGTTTTGGTTCCAAGGGGGGAAAAAGGGCTATTTTTTTTCTTTCATATAAAGGAGGACATAGGGGCCTATGATGGTCATTTCTGTTTCACCGAGCCTATAGGATGAGGCTGCACACATCACAGGTGTTCAGGAACTACTTGGAGAGTGAATGGTTGATCCCAGAATTATCAAAAGAATACCCATGAGAATATAAATATAAAGGCAGACCTCTTCCTTTAAGTTTGAAATAAAAAAAGCATTACATGGGTGGTAATAGGATTTAGAAGTAAAGTCCAAGTACAATCTAAGCTGAAAACAAAACCCATATGCTGATCAGTTAAGGGGCGTGCGACAGAACTCCTCCACCTAGGCTGATAGCTCTTTCAAGATCTTCGGGTCTGCCTCTCCGACTTTTTTCTACACTGAATAAAATGTTCATGGTTATTGATCTTAAGTTTTGAAAAAATTCCATCAACAGGTAAGTGAAAGAGACTTGAATCTGTATAATCACATTATATTAGCCAATATTTTTTAATTCTACCTGTTGAAAGACAAAATTACTACAATCTAGTTTTGCAGATTTTCATTGACTTTATTTTATTTGTGATTGTAGAATTGGGCAGTAGTCTGGATCCGGAATGGTTCAGAATGCTCTATCCTACCAATGTGCAGGTTCTACTTAAGGTCAGAAAAGAGGAAGTGACATATGGAAGACAGAGGTGGGATAACAGAGATAGCTCAGTTGGTTAAGCTTGGATCTGTCTTCTTTGGACCTAATTTGAGTAGTCTGTGGTTGGCTGAGGCCCAACTATTTGTTCCTAAATTAGGCTTTCAGTTTGTTTACGTACTGAGTTGGGAATTCCTGTGGAGGCTTCCTTGGGCCATTTTTACCAGGAGAACATGACTCTAAAGCACTTCATAGCTCAGTGATTAGCCAAAAAGAATTCCTGTCATGCTGTTTCCTATTCAGGTGCCCCAAATGAGGTTAATAACAGACCCACTCACTGGCCTGCGGTGAGAGCCTCCTGTGTGTAGATGTGTTGCTATTACCTGTTAACCATCCGAGGGATTCTTTTCCTCCCCTGTGCATAGACTTTTGTCCCAATGCAGTCAATTTACTTTGTTGAAGACTGAGGGATATGACTTGCTCTGAGGCAAAGATAGCATGTTCTTTTAGGTAGTTTGGTCAGTTGACACTCTTGTATTAGATATTGGTATCTAATTAATTGGTTGCACAAATTGAAAGAGATGGTTAATTTTAAAAAGTAGTATCTCTTCAATAAGAGTCGCCAGGCTGAGGAGTTAGAGTCATAAGATTGTTATTTTGTAGAGTAAATACAAAGAGGTTTTCAGAGAAACAGTAGCCTTCCCCCTTGAGATAAGTAGCTTACTGGCAATTAGGACAACTGACTGTGAGCCTCTTGAGGTGAATCAGAACTGAGAAAACACCTTAGAGTCTGTCCTGGTTGTTTTCTTCATACAAGGGGAAGGGACAAAGCCAAAAGTGAGAATTCCAGTCAATGCAAAAGTCACCTAAGCTTAATAAAGCCCCAAAAAGGAGTCATAAATTTTTAAATTATAGCCTTTAAGCAAAAATTGAATAAGCTTTGTTAATTGGGAGGGAAAAAAGAAAGAAAATCTATTTGGTCATTTTTTTCCTTCATTATTTCCATAAAATTAACTGTGTGCTCATATACTACAGTGCTAGAAAGTTACTGTGCTTACTACCTCGGGGCAGGAATAAAATAAGCATCTCGCTCCATCTTTCTTACCTTGATTCATAGCTCAAATGTTTCTATTCCTGGAACATTACAGCAGCTTTGGTGCTAAGAAAATTGCTGGTAGAGGAAGAATGATTCTGCAGCCCTCATCCTTCACAGTTTTACACCGTCCCATTGTCTAACTTTGCAATCCCGCCATCTAGTGTTCAAACGTAATCAGTACTTCAGCTCATGAAATGCTTCTCTTCATTTATAAGCAAAATAATATGGGAAGTAACAAGCAGTTACCTGAAAAACACTCTCTTGGGGAGAGTCAATGTAAAAAATAGTTCACCCATGAAACTCTAAAGCAGATTTCCTGTGAAATATGTTTCTTATCATTGCCTCATTTATTGAATGCCCTTATTCATAAATAGTTGATGTGTTCTGTGTAGATAGCCCTACAAACTACACACATACCTAATCTACTGCGTATATTGAAGCATACACTTATTTATTTTACATTTTATTTTCATATTCTTCTTTCTCTGTAGTTGCTTATAACTAACAGAATTGTCATTGTCTCTAAAGACAAACAAACCCTCCAGTTGTGGGGGTCGACTGGATTAGAGTGGGCTCAAAAGGTGGAAACAGTGTATTGGAATATTTGCACCACACGGCTGCCCCAAGCTATGGTTTTGTTACCACGAGTGCCTGTGCCTTCCAGGGTCAGATACTTTATCATAGAGCAGCAAAACAAAAAGGGTTGGATATATGTGAAATAAACTGACTTACCAGAAAACAAACAATCAAACAACAAAAAGAAAAACTTAGTGTCTCTATTGTCTTACTGTGGGACTATATTTTAGATATATCTTTAAAAAAATAGAAATTATTTTTAGGAATTAATGAGGTTGGTTGCAGTTTTCAAAATGTCTTGAAAACATGATTGTCCTTTCCTTTATGAGACTTTAAGAAGACCTCTTCTGGTCTTCTTCTGTATGTATGTTGTCTATAAGTTTAGAACTTTAAAAAGAAAAACTATTTCTTTAATTATCAAAGAATATGTTTAATTAGTTAAAATACGTTCTGTCAGTTCACCTCTATCATTTCAGCGTCTGCAAAATAGCTGACAATATGCCTGTTTGGGACTCCAGTGTCAGAATGGAAAACCTCAGCCCAGAAGCAGGTGCATTTCTAGGGTCCGCGAGGATGCTGCCGGCTGCTCAGACCGTATTATATACTCCCACTCTGCTTTTTGTCAGTTCTTCAGGACACAAGGCCTCCTCTGGCTTTAGGCTCTGTTTTCCTCCCTTGCTTTAATTACAAATGCCTTCTTCTGCCCTTATATACCGTTCAGATTTTGGCAGAAGCATCGTTTCCACAGCAAAGCCCTGCAAACCCTAGATCAGTCCTCTGAGAATTAGATACCGTTCAATAATTTTCCTTATCACCATTCACCGCACTTTGTAATCATGGGCTTGTATCAATGACTATCAGCTTAATTTCTGCTGCCCCCATAGATGACAAGTTTTGAACTGTAACTTCAGTTACAGGCTGGAATAATATATATGTTTCTTTTTTCAACTGCAGAAGTGCAAGCTACTGTATTTTCTGTAATTCCCAGTACAGAGTATGTGTGCAGTAAGCACTCGATGAAATCAACCCATGACCCCCAAATTGAGAACTGAGAAGCCCATTGCCCCAGCTCACAGAATTTTGTAAATTATATTCCATGCCACCATTGGAATGAGAAAATATTCACTGATGCAGGAAGACCCACATCCCAGCGTCTCAAGATGCACATCTCTGGGGACTTGTCACCTCAAGCCGCGGGGGAATGAGATGTGTGGTCTCACCACTCAAAGAATCCCCTGACTTGCTTAGCAGCACCCTTCCTGATTTGTGGGGACTCAAAGACCTTTCATGCTTCTGTTTCTTCTCCCTTGAAATACAAAACAAAACCTCCCCCCTCAGATCGCTCTTCTTGTCTTGACTGTCACACAGCTTCTTGGATAAACAGGGAGTAAGGGAAGATGGAGAACAAAGTGCAAATAGATATTTCAGTGCTTTATCCTGCCACTCTGATATTCAGCAGAGGATAAACATAAATAATGCAAGTTGTATAAAGGACATGTTAAGTTTGCATTGTTTATTTTCTAGAAGACTCTAAGGACTCCCAACTATCTTAGAATTTGAGACAAGCTATTATGCTGAGAATCAATCATCTTCAAAGTGAGCCTTGCTTTAAAAGTTATCAACTGTCCTAGTAAGTTTAAGGATGTGTCACCAGTCACCTCTGTCTTCTCAGAAATGAGTCCAGCAGTGAGAGATAAAGTGAAGATTCAGAAGTCATTAATTTCAACCCCGAATGCACATACGTAGATTTGGTATTTTTTGAAATTGCATTACCGTATGTATTAAGGTCTGGTATATTCTTGTTCTCTAAAGTTAACACTTAAAGAAGAATGCTTAAGTTTTAAAACCACATTGAGGACTCTAAGTATTCGTCTACGCCCTTCTCCCCTGCCTATGCTGGTTTATTTAGCAGGTGTGATGTAAGTCAGTGCTCCCTGGAAACTGGATTGACTAACTCAATCACCAACTTGGCTAGAATTGTGACTCTTAGATGTGTGGGTATATGTTTGATGAAAAAAATAAATAAATTTGTACAAAGTTCACTGCAAAGAATATCTTCATGCTCTGTCTCCACAGCAACACGGATGTACACACAGTGGCATCGCTTCTTAAGTTGTATCTCCGCGAACTTCCGGAACCAGTTATTCCTTATGCGAAGTATGAGGACTTCCTGGCATGTGCCAAACTACTCAGCAAGGAGGAAGAAGCAGTGAGTGGCTCCATGTCTTTCCAAATATGCTTTTGGTTGAGTTTTTTGCCAGTGTTCTTAGTCTTTAATTTGTAAATTTCCTTTTGCTCTGTCCTGTTTTGCACTGTCCTGTGAATTGGCGTCACACATGATTTTACTTTCTATACTCACCTCAAGCTCTATTTTTGATCCCCTCTTTGATTGAAGAGAAGAATATGGCAGTGTGTGTGCAGTCAGCATCCCTTGCCACTTTCCTCCGTGTGGCTGAATGTGGTGCCTCACGTTACATAAAAAGTGGGCGCCTTGCTTCATCCTCTCCTTTTCATTGTGTGACCCCACTCAAGTGACCTCCAACAATGGCCCATGTACCAAATCCTACCTACAGTCTGTTTTTTAAAAGAACTTAATTGAGATATAATTTATATCCCATATAATCACTCATTTAGAATATGTAGCTTGGTACTTTTTAGTTTTTTCTCAAGGTCTGCAACCATCACCAAAATCTAATTTCAGAATAATTGTAACATTTTTATTACCTCAAAACAAATCCGGACCTCTGCCCAGTTCCCCTTTCCCTAGCTCTTGGCAGCTGCTATTCTGCTTCCTGACCCTATAGTTTGCTTATCCATTTCATATAAATGGAATCATTTAATGCATAGATTATTTTTGCTAGTGACTTCCTTCACTGTTTTCAAGGTTCTTCCCTGTCGTACCAAGTATCACTATTTTATTCCTTTTATTCCCAATGATATTTCATTCATCAGACAGAACAATTGTTTGGTTTCCATTGTTTGCTTTATTAACGATGCTGTTATGACTACCCATGCACAAATTTTTGCATGGACATGTTTTTATTTTTCTTGCACATATACCTAAAAGGTAGAGTTATTATACTAAGCCATGTGTAACTCAGTATTTCCAAAAAGGTTCCATTATTTTTTAACTTCTACCAGCAACGTGGACAGGCTCCAATTTCTTCATATCTTTGCCAGCACTTGTCTGTTTTTTTTGTTGTTGTTGTTTGTTTGTATTTTTAATCGTAGCCATCCCAGTGTGTGTAGACTGGTATATAATTGAGGTTGGATGCCCTTTCTCTGATAGTGAACAATGAATGTCTTTTTGTGCACTTTTGGACTATTAATGTGTTTTCTTTAGAAAAGATCTATTAAGTTCATTTCCCATTTTAGTTGGGGTGTCATCGTATAAATGAGTTAAAAGAGTTCATATAGTTTACTTACCAGTCCTTTATCAGATTTATGATTTGCAGATATTTTTTCCATTCTGCAGGTTGTCTTTTCATTTTCCTGAGGTTGTCCTTTGAAGCACAACATTTTTATATTTTCTTCTCAAGCTTTTATAGCTTCAACTCTTACATTTAGATCTGTGATGATCTTTGAGTTCATTTCTGTTTATTATATGTAGGAACCCACTGCATTACGTTGCCTGTAGATTACCAGTTGTCCCAGCATCATTTGTGGAAGGACCATTCTTTCTCCTGCTAGACTTTTTTAGCACTCTTGTCAAAAATGCTGCTCATCTTTGTAAATGAAGTTTTATTCCTTTTGTTACATAATATTGCCTGTGGCTACTTTTCCATTACAATAGAAAAGGTGAGTAGCTGAGACAGAGACTGTATGTCCCAGAAAGCCTAAAATATTTATTATTGGACATCTACAGAGACCAAATGGCCTTTGGGAGACATTTAGATCTTAAAGGGAGTTCTACAATGAGAAGAACTAAAGAGATTAGTCCCTTGTGAAATTTTCAGAAAGATCAGGCTTTCCAACCATCCTCCTTCCTTAAATGATAGATCTTAGACATGAGTAATCGTGAGGGACTCATTTGTCAGTAGACAAATGTTTTTCTGTGTTCTGGGCATATTAAAATGGGAGAGACCCTCGCTACATCAAGACTAATTTCCTATTTCAAATTAAATTACATTATTATAAATGAGGCTATCTTCCTTTGTCAGTCAAAAAGTTAAAAATGATAAACAACTTCACTTAAATCTGTTTCCCTATAAATAGTACTTAGGGAGATATTAAAAAGTCTTGTACATCTTTCAAAGGGTTCTTAAATGCTCACGATGATGGTAGGTTTTTTTCTGTTTGTTTGTTTGTTTTTTCAGTTTTTGGCTGGGGCTGGGTTTGAACCTGCCACTTCTGGCATATGGGGCTGACGCCCTACTCCTTTGAGCTGCAGGTGCCACCCGATGGTGGTGTGTTTTAAGGACAGGATCCATCACTGATAGTATGTGAAACTAATTTACAAAAAAACTATATGGCCATTTCCTGCTTGCCTTAATTCCAAGGTCAACACACAGAAAAAATAACATTTATTTTCTTCTTCGTCCTCAGGGTGTTAAGGAATTAGCAAAGCAGGTGAAGAGTTTGCCAGTGGTCAATTACAACCTCCTCAAGTACATTTGCAGGTAAGAAATGTACCCAGACAAAACTAAACAAAACAAGACTATATTTAGCCTGACACTGATTTATGTTTAACAATGAATAAAATCACTTACCTGCTCTGAGCTCTGCTATTGGCCTCTATAAAATTCACAGATTGGACAAGATGACCTTAAACAGTTCTTGAAGCATTAAAATTGCTTAATCTTATTCTTTCTGAGTCTCAGGGCCCTAACAGGTAAAATAGCAGTGAAAACACATATTTCACATGGTTGTTTCAAAAATTGAATTGTATTTTTAAATGATTAGTCTATAGTAGTGTTTAATAAATATTATTTCCATTTCTCTCTCACCTCAAGACTCAGCGAAAGACATTTGTAATTGAATCCTGTTGAAACAATAGTTGTGCCTTGGTAAAACTCTCTGTCAGTTACTGTATGTACCTCAAGACCTGGGGAGGGATGTGCCATATCTTAGCCCCTGTTTAAGAAACCAAAGATGTAAAATTGAAACTTACACTGGATTTACATAGAGGTTGAGAATTGGCAGTACAAGTCACATCAAGGTTTTGTAAATGATTATTTTCCAGTCTATTCTGAAATAAAATTTAAATTTTTAACTCAGTACAGTGCATTATATCTATATAGGCTTTGGTGTCATGATTAGGTAAGTGGTGAGCAAACCAGGAACTACGAAGTTAAGACTAACGCAAGACGCTGTGGAGTTCATTGTCAGTGGCCGAGTAGAAATTCTAAAGCCTCCCACCATAAGATTTTTTGGCGATGATTATACTTTGAAGGAAATAAGACCTTGAGTTTTCATGTTTGAAAAAGCAAGAAATTGTGTAACTGTCAGAATGGACTTATACACATATCAGGCTTTAATCCCAAGATTTTGAAATTATTAAAGAAAAAGGTTATATTCACCTTAAGTAATAAGGATAGAAGGCTTGTCTGAGAACCATATTGTAAGCCTTCATGTCTACAATAGAAATACTTAACTTCTCTTCAAAAGCTTAAGCAGACTTTTAATTTCAGGTATTGCAAATAACAAATTATAGTTTCTGACTTTTTGTTTGAGTGTTACTATATTTGAGGTTGCGTAACAGTAATCAACATCTGGAAATGGGCACTGTTTTTAAAAGCCCTGGAGTAGAATCATAGTCAATGGCCAGACTAATGGGGTTTAAATCTGAGCTCTGCCACTTACTAACTTTGTGTCCTTCAAAAAGATCCTAAACCTCTCTACTGCCTCAGGAGTCTCATCTGTAAAATGGAGACAATAATAGTACCTATCTCACAGAGATCCTCTGAGAATTTAATAAATTAGCGCCATGACTGACACATAATAGTACCACTTGAACATATTGCTTCTATTTTCCATCATTCTGTCTCACTGGCATCATTAGTCAGCAATAAATAATAGAGGCTCTTAGAGAAATGAAGAGGAGATGGGGAATGAAAAGAGGCTGAAGGATTCCAAAAGCAATCTCTCCTGCTATTTTCTGCCTCTTAGTCTTTAGCATCTAATAAATCGAAACACTTTATGCTTGTAATTTTTTTCTATCAGTAGAAATGATATTTTAATTTCAATTCTGTTTGATCATATTTGTAACTATATAAATTGGAAGCTCACAAATTACTGCACAAACAGTGGATTTTCCTCTAGAAAATGAAGGATTGTACCTAGTGATCTTTTTTTTTTTTTTTTACATAGATATGTGTTTATTAGGTTTCCACTTTTTGCCTTCACGAAATTAAAAAGGCTTAAAATTTAATAACAATAACAATGTTTAAGGTAAGGATTGAAAACAAAAACCTCATAAAGAATGAATGAAGATAAATACATACAGAAAAGAAATCAGATGATTGCTGCACCAAAATAGTAAGCAATAATAATAATGATAATAATGCAAAGAAAGTAGCATTCACATCGTCAAATAAGAGTGTGTCTATTATAGAATGCTTTGACTCTGAGGTTCAGCATGGAGTCAGCAGTTAACTTCTTATTTTTTTCCAAAGTCTCAAAAAATACACAACTAATATTTATAAATAAAAGTAAAAGATAATTTCAAAAAACAGATCATACCATATCTTATAGACAATAGAAAAAGAAGAAATACTTCAAAATCATTCTACTTAATCTGGATATACCTGATATTAAAATTGGAGAAAATATATTATTATAAAGGGGAAATTACAAACATATTTCACTTATAAATGAAAAAAAGAAAAGAAAATAGTGACTAATTCTCACATAAATTACATTTAATTTTGACCAAAGTACATTACTTAAACATAACTAGTGATCTTATATACAGTTCCATAATTGATTATGTCTATAAACTTAATATTTTATTGAGGAATGAGAAGGGAATCCACATTTTTGACTCTTGAGTCCATGATAGTATTGTCCAAACATCCTTGTTTCTTTGATCGACAGAGGCAACCAAGCTAGGCTGGAATAGAATTTTTATAAGAGTCCTGAACTTTGATCCTTTTTAATTTGCAATATGTTTTTTCCACATTTCACTGAAAGATGCTTGACTATACAATTAATTTTGTCTCCATAATCACCTTTGGACATATTCCAGTTTATAAACTCTCCTGTAATCTACTTTCCCCCACTGACAAATTTGACCCCATTGTGTGTCAATTATATGCTTACACCCAATAGGTTCTTGGATGAAGTGCAGTCCTATTCGGGAGTTAACAAAATGAGTGTGCAGAACTTGGCAACTGTCTTTGGTCCTAATATTCTGCGACCCAAAGTGGAAGATCCTTTGACTATCATGGAGGGTAAGTAAATAATTATTTTATACCTTCATCTAAAAGAATCAACTGGTTGATTCTAGATTGGCCAGAATCTATTCTACTCTGAGAAAATCAAGGACGTAACCGAATCTGTGCCAATTCCATTTAGTCACTCAAGTTCCTCAAATGTAAAATCTTGTCTTTGAGAAAAACATAAAATTTACTAAATGCCTCCCCAGTAGCATTACAAGAATAAGTGGAACTTCCACAAATCATCTGAAAATGTTTTTCAAGAAGTGAGATAAATTTAGATCATTTTATAAGTCCTATAGAACTTTAATAGCATTTGAATTTTAAGTTAACATCTATTCATTAATTTTGGTTTTACATGACTGATTTCAAGAGGTAAAGAAATTTGATCCTTTATAAGATAATGTTGCTTGTTTATTTGTGCATTGTAACATGAAGGAATTCTTTTCTTCTGGATTAGAAAATGCCTTGTATTATTTTTCTCCATGAACTACATCTTCTGAGTATATCAAGCACACCTCGGTGCTTGGACACCTTTCTTACCTGTGCACATTGGTAGCGCCATTGTTTTCTGCACACTGGAACTAATTGATCATTTAAGAATATAATAGGGAAGCATTTGTGTTATTATCTGAGTTGCAAGTATACTTACTACTTATTTATGGAATTCTGTTATTACTTGAAAGAACAACTGACAAGCTATAGTCAGTCAGACTTGAGCATTTAGTAGACACTCAAAAATGAACTAAAAGTTTCACTTCAAGAAATACAGCTGTCACAAGTGGTTGCTGTTGATAAAATTTGGACTTGCATGTAAAAACATTGTATTTAACACCTTAAGCTTGACAGCTTCCTAATTCTTAACTACTTTCCTGGTGATTAGTGTAGATATTAATGAACATGTCTTTGACACCATAGAATTAATGTGTCATTTGGAAGACTGGGATAACGCTCAGTGAATTTTCCGAATGTCATGTTGTCACAAAGCCATGCATGTGTAAGAGATCCATTCAGATTAGCTTTTCTGACTTACAGACCTCAATCTACCTTTTCACATAGCTCTCAAAACTGTGGCATCTTGCTCTCTGAGATGTCCTGGATTTCTGTCCCTCCTTGGTTTTAACTGGTCCTTCCATTTCTTTAATCTCTGTTGTCCTACCCTGCACAATTTGGACTCCTCACTCAGCAGTTTCCCCTCCACATGGAGCCCGTCTACAAGACAGTTCTGGCTGGTCTGTGTTGGCAGTTCTTGGGGACTGGACGACTCTTCCACCTTCGGGCTTTACCACTGGCCATCTCTATTGGGACCTCTGTTGGACTAGGCATGACCCCTCGCTATTTTAGCCACTGTTCTTAAATTAGCCCTTTGCATTTCCAGTGAGTACCCGTGGATACATCAGGGATTGCGTGTGTTCAGGCCATCGGAGCCCCATTGCTTCCTCCTTGTTCTGATAACCATTTCAGAAAAAGAGTCCCAAAATTGCTTTGAAGGGTAGACTAGGTTTTGGCATTGGTGCCTAGCTTCCCTAAGGAAATATCTCAAAGGTGACCTTAGTGATATTTAGCAATGAGGTATGTAGCACTTTTTCTAGATTGAGTTCATGAATGTAATTGTCCAACCTCATATGTATGCTCAAAACTTGTCATCCTATCACCTTTATTCATAGCTCCAAACTGAAAATAGACCAATTCTCTATCAACTAGTGAACAGATAAATAAATCTGGCACATTTATAGAATAAAATGCTACTCAGACATGAAAAGAATGAACTACTGATACATGTAACAACATGGATAAATATAAAAATATTATGCTAAGTGAAAAAGACCCAGTCATAAAAAGCAACACACTGTGTAATTCCATTTATACAATATTCTAGAAAAGGCAAAACCACAGAGACAGAAAGGTAATCAGTGGAGGCCATGCCAGAGGTGGGTATAGGGGATTGACTTCAAAGGGCACAAGGGAAATTTTCTAGATTATGATTAGTTAATATTTTCGGGACCATACACATTTGTCAGAACTCAGGTAGCTTACGTTTATCTTCAGACATGCAGGATGACATATGCTCATATATACAGGGTTATTCATTCCAAAAAATCCAAATTGGAGTTATATTGCATACAACACTGTTCATGTTGTGTGTGTGTGTGTGTGTGTGTGTGTACACACATTTATATATTATTGTTACTGGAATTTCTGGGCCCCAGGTCTCAGGAATCAAAGAATGAATTCACAAACCACAAGTAAGCAAAAGGATTTGTTTTTTTATTGATAAAAGAAAGGAAAGAAGAGAACCTCTTGCACAGCAGAGAGGGTCCTGAGTAGGTTGCTGCTTTTGGCCTTCCTCTAGGGGGTTATTTACGTTTTCTAATCACCTCTCCTTTTCTGCAGGCAGGGGGATTGGGGGAAATGGAATGTATGTCTAAAATATGTCACAGCCATAGGTGCCAAAGGCCTGTGGGCAGAAGTTAATGTTTAAAACTGCCATTGTGCAGGAATGTGGTCATGTTTTGGATGTTCCACCCTTCCTGAGGAGTGGTGGCCTAGATAGAACATTGATCTTTACAAGCCTGCTTAGGTCCAGAAAATAGAGTCCATGTCCAGCCCTAGATGAGGGGAACCTATATCATAATATTTTTAAAACCTTAAGTATCTTTAAAGAATAATTAAATTCTTAGCCAATGCTTATGAAGAAAAGTGTCTATAATATAATATTTGGATCCCACTTTGTAAATGTATATAAGCCAGGGAAGAGTTGCTGGGTCATGTAGCACAGTGAGGCTCCAGTATCCACTTGGACTCTTCTGAATGGGTGGGTGATTATAACCACTCTGACCTCATTGTTTGGGCTTAATGTCCTTCATTGGCATTCTAACAAAGAAAATGACAGAGAGAAGGGAATAAAAAAGAAAAAAAATGATAATGAGTATACATATCATCATTACTACCATGCTAGTCTCTCCTAAATGGCTATAAAAATTCAAGGAAAGTCCCTTTACAAGGGATTATTGCCATTTATTGTCCCAGAAACTAGATGGTATCAAAGCCTGCCAAGATACTAGAAGGAGAGTTCTAAATCTCTAGAGCCCTGGCACTCACTGTATAATTGTGGCAGGTACACTTTGGCATGACTGTTCACAGACTCATCATGGAGAACCTGGGGATGTCACTCTTCAATTAATTAAATGCCCCTGCACAGTCCATAGCTATGATGGGAAGTAGTGATGCATCAAATGTTAATAGCCTAGTGATGGGAATAAAAGGTCCATTTTCCCAGAATACTAGGCAGAATCATATATTAATGGAAGCTACAAACCTTTGAAAATATAGGTCTGTCATGTGGGCAAATAGTGCATAGTGTCAGCAAACATAGTGCATATAAATGAGAGTGTTATCTTAACTACTTTGAAATCTTTTTATTAGATTCACTGCTTCATGCATTGAAGATAGGATGACAAATTTAGAGGCTACTAAAAGAGAAAAGATGGATACATGGTATAATTAATTTCATTCAGTTTTTTCTGCCACCACTCTGTAATAGCTGGCAATGATTCCGTCGACCTTAGTCTTTTTCTTAGTTTCCTACCCCAAGTTTACTTATTACTACTATAGTTTTAAATCCCAGCAGCTGAAATACAGGTGGACAAATACATAATGGGAAAGAAGAAGACTGAGTAATTAATTTCACCCCAGTCACATCCTCTGTATGGCCTGAGCAAACAACTTAACCTCTCTGATGTTTAATTTTCTCATCTGAAAAACTATTAGGTCCTGTCTTTCAGACTTCTGAGAAACTTAATTTGGAAGGTATAAGTGAGATATTGAGGTATTTTCATCTACCACAGTGTTTTTCAAACTCCAGCACACATAGGAATCATGTTGGGATATTGTTAAAATGCAAATTCTGATTTCCGTCTGCAGTGGGTACTAAAAATTTGAAACTTCAGATAATGACAGTGCTACTCCTCTGTCATTGCTGGTATCATTTGGAACCGGTTAGAAATCCAGAATCTCATGTTCCACCTAATTCCTCCTGAACTAGAATCTGCCTTTTAACAGGATCTCCAGCTAGTTTGTATGAATGAATATTTAGGCAACATTCTTCTGATAGCTGACCTGGCACATGCAGATACTTGATCGAATAGAAGCCTACTTGTTGCAGCCAGTTTTAGGGGATGGGAGCCCCACTCATTGTATCAAAAGGGAATATGTGAAGATGTATTTTGAGATTTTAGTTGACATGCCATTGAAGCTAATAAATCACTTGAGTTTTTGAATTGCTGCTTTACAGAGTAGATCAGTTTTTCTCTTTGCTATTATCTGAGTTACTTTTATTGTTTTTAACTATCCAAGACATAGATTTCTACTCCATATTTTACAGTGAATAGTAAAAGTAGGAGAATCAAATAGGAACCATACTATTTTCATCTGTATAAAAGAATTTTCATTCTTGAAGGTCTTCTTTGTTTAAAAATCCCTGAAGCTTTTATAGTTCTTGTAGAGCAGTCAAGACACACTCTCTTAGTTTTTGTTTTTCTGAGAATTTCTCAATTTCTCCTCCATATTTGAAATTTTGAAAACTTCATTGCATTGCTTTTTAGCCTTCCTGGTTTCTGATGAGAAATCTTATTGAGTGTCCCTTGTACATGACTCACTTTTCTCTTACTGCTTTTAAGATACTCTCTTTGTCTTCTGCGTAAGCAATTTGGCTACTATAGATCTCTTTACATTTACTTTGCTTGGAATTTGTTGAGCTTCCTGGATGTTTTTCAAGTATTTCATCAAACTGGGGCGTTTCCAGTTGCCACCTGTCTTTCTTCAAATATTCTTTCTGTTTATTTCTCTTTCTCCTCTCCTTTTGGAACTACCATTATCCTTATTGCAGTATACTTCATGGTACCCCACAGATTTCTGAGGCTCTGTTAATGCTTCTTTCTTTGGTTTTCTTACTGTTCCTTAGCCTGGGTAACTATAATTGACCTAATCAGAAAATTCATTCTTCTGCCTGATCAAATCTGCTTTTGATCCCCTCTACTGATTTTTTTCATTTTAAGAATATCTCAACTATTCTTGAGATATTCAACTCAAGAATATCTAGTTGGTTCTTTTTTATGCTTTCTGTCTTTTTATTGCTAGTCTCTATTTGGTGATACGTTGTTCTCACTTTCCTTTGTTTTTTTTATTCAGACATGATTTCCTTTTTGTTACCTGGACACATTGAAAATATATTGTGAGTACAATGTCTGGGCTTCTTCAGAGTCAGTTTTGCCTGTATGTGGGCTGTACTTACATTATGCTTTTCATGTCTGGTAATTTTTGGTTGAAAGCTGGACATTTTTAATGATATGTAGAAACTATGCATTTCAGATTCTCCCCCCACCTTCTTCTCAGGGTTTGTGGTTTCTATGTGGTTTTGTTTGTTTAGTTTCTGAACAAATTCTATAAAGTGTTTATTTTTACTTATGTGTGGTCATTCAAGTTTTTGTTTGGTTTACCTCATGACCAACTAATGATTAGCTAGAAATTTCCTAAAGTGCCTAATGCCAGTAAGTCTTCCAGTCTTAACCAAGTGGTTTTGTGTATATGTAGAGCCAAACCTTCAGCTAGGCAGTTTACAGCTCTTTCTTAACCTTCAGTTTTTGCTTGTGCAGAACTTTTAAATTTATCACAGGTGAGAACTTAGGGACTTCTCAGTTCTTTCCAGAGCACACACACATCCTGAGTATGCACACAACCCTAAATGTAAGTGTGGTCTTCTAGATTCCCAGGAATATATCAGAGCATTTCAGTTCCCTCTATGGAAATCTCATCACCCAGATTTGGGTTACCCTATTGTTTGTCCCAGCTGTCATCCATTGTTTCAGGCATTGATGATGTTAAATATAAGTGCTGCTTATTTTTTTTAACAAATGGCCCTGGGGGGAAAAACTGTTCATACTGAGCAAAGTCAAATAATGATAATTGTTTGAAAATTGAGTTGTGACAGAATTCCAACCCTGCTCTGCCCATTCCAGTGGCTGAAAGAGTGCTGATTCTCACTGTGATTGTGAGCTGTTGGTTGTCAAGTTGACTGCAATGTGAGAAGAGGAGAATGAGCCTAGGATAGGTTAATACACTGCAAAGTTTACTGCTCTTACTAAGAGCAGCCACTTTCTTGAATAAATATTCTGTGGATTGCTTCAAGCCATTAGCTAGCTTTCAGAGTTCTAAAAATGTTGATTCTGAAAATTTTGATTAGTTGCTTTTACGGCAAAGAGGATTTTTGTAGGTCTGCACTCCATCATTCTGGCTAATCTCACTTAAAATGCCCTGATGCTTTTCAGTGATGAGTGGAAGTCATATGGAACTTCATTGCCTTGCTGTATTCGAATGACCATACACAGCCTGTATGGTGTCTTTTTTAAAGGTGCCACTAATGTATCTTGATGCTTTGAGATGATTGTCAAATAAAAGGTTACAGTGACCTCCTCCTAAGAAAGATTTCTCATACTTATGTGTCAAACTTATAATAAATGTTGCATAATGCTTGAGAGTCTGGTCCTAGAACTAGATAACTCTAGGCTTGTCCCAAGTCTGGTCCTTAATAACATTGTGACCTTAGTCAAGTTACTTTATTATAGTACAGTGATAATTACAGTATATATTGATAGATTTCTTTCAAAATCCAAGGAAACTGCAAAAGCAAAATGCTTGGCACAGTTCAATAGCATAGAATAGATGTTTGAGAAATTTTAGCTTCTATTTCTGTTATCTTTAAGAATATAGTTTGGCAATGCTAACGATAATGATGAATGTTCACCTAAATGTGTTTAAGAGTCATATTCAAAATAGGAAATCAATCAAAACTGTCTGAGTCACACTACTTTTCTTTCTATGCAATTCTAGGCACCGTGGTGGTCCAGCAGTTGATGTCAGTGATGATCAGCAAACATGATCACCTCTTCCCTAAAGATGCAGAACTACAAAGCAAGCCCCAAGATGGAGTGAGTAACAACAACAATGAAATTCAGAAGAAAGCCATGATGGGCCAGTTACAGAACAAGGAGAACAACAATACCAAAGACAGCCCTGGTAGGAGGTGCTCTTGGGACAAGTCTGAGTCACCTCAGAGAAGCAGCATGGACAGTGGCTCACCCACAGCTTTATCAAGCAGCAAAACCAACAGCCCAAGGAACAGTGTTCACAAGCTGGATGTCTCTAGGAGTCCCCCACTCATGGTCAAAAAAAACCCAGCCTTCAATAAGGGTAGTGGGATAGTCACCAACGGGTCATTCAGCAGCAGTAACGCAGAAGGTTTTGAGAAAACCCAAACCACCCCCAATGGGAGCTTACAGGCCAGAAGGACCTCTTCACTAAAGGGGTCTGGTACCAAAATGGGCACCCACAGTGTACAGAATGGAACAACACGTGTGGGTGTTTTGAACACCGACACTCTGGGGAACCCTGTGAATGGTCGAAGCATGACCTGGCTGCCAAATGGCTATGTGACCCTAAGGGATAACAAGCAGAAAGAGCAGTCTGGGGAGTCAGGCCAGCATAATAGACTTTCCACCTATGACAATGTCCATCAGCAGTTCTCCATGATGAACCTTGATGACAAACAGAGTGTGGACAGTGCCACCTGGTCCACCTCCTCTTGTGAAATCTCCCTCCCTGAGAACTCCAACTCCTGCCGCTCTTCCACCACCACCTGCCCAGAACAAGACTTTTATGGTGGGAACTTTGAGGACCCTGTTTTGGATGGGCCTCCACAGGATGACCTTTCCCACCCTGGGGACTATGAAAACAAAAGTGACCGTAGGAGTGTGGGAGGTCGGAGTAGTCGTGCCACCAGCAGCAGTGACAACAGTGAGACATTTGTTGGCAACAACACCAGCAACCACAGTGCACTGCATAGTCTTGTTTCCAGCCTGAAACAGGAAATGACCAAACAGAAGATAGAGTACGAGTCCAGGATAAAGAGGTGAGGAAAATCTGGAGGTCGTAACTGCCAGGTGCAGTAGCCACCTCCTCCTTTGGGATGAGATCACACACAGGGTTAAATATGCCAGCTCCAAAGTCAGAAACAACCAAGTTCAAGTCTTCCCTTCACTACTCTTGCACTGTGGGACTTTGGGGAAGTTAGCTTCCCCAAAAGCTAACTCTGTAAGCTTCAGTTTTCCAATGTAAATATTTAAATACTGGTAGTACCTCAAGGGCACATAAGAAGCATTTGAGAACTGTCCCTGGCAAAGAATAGGTACTCAATAATGTTATCTTCAGTTGTCATTAAGTATGTAACTTTTTACGAATGGGCCAGAAGGACAGGAGCAGGGAGGAAATGGATGAGCAGAAGGACCCTGTTAGTTTTCACTGATTAAAAAAGGATGGAATTAAGGCAAAAAGAAAAAAGTTGTAAAAGTAATCAGACCCTCATTTTTGGTTCTCTCAATAATTGCATGCTGAGATAGTATCTTATATCTACCAGGCTCAGTTCCAGGCCCTGAGGATTCACGCGAGCTCAGAGAGGGGAGAGGTACCAGGTGACACGGGGACTTGAGGGGGTCATTTCAGCTTTGACTTTTACTCTGAGATAGGAATCAAAGGAGGCTTCTGAGAGGAAAGTAACATGGAGTATTCACATAGGGAAACTGGAGCCTATCTGGGGAACAAAGAATATGATTTATAAAGAATCAGCCATGTTAAAACCTGACTTTTATCATTCTGTGTCTTCTCATAAGATGGCCAGGGTGGAAGTAGCCCCTGTCTTGGTCTTGGTCTTTGTCCCAGTCAAGTCGTGATTTGGGAGACCTCGTGCTGTGTGGTTTATGAGGAGCCTCAACAGATTATCCTGACTCAACTTTTTCCAGAGCTCAATCTCCACAGTTTCTGTTTTTATGTATAAAGCTGGCTTTGCATCATCTTAGTATACTTCCTATCTATTGATAAATTATCAAGCCAAAGGTAGCATACTTTCAGAAGCTGTGGCAAAGTAAATACAAACAAAAACACTACTTAGAAATGAAACTGAGCAATTACCTCCCTGGAAAGTATTTGTAATTAAGTTTCACTGAATGGAAATGTGGTTTCACTAATGCTGAGTGGCAGGAGGTTTAAATAAGAAAAAATTCAGGTCATCACCTTAAAAGGAGACTCTTCTTTCTGAATGTAGTTTTTGGAACTAGTAGCTACTGGAATTCAGAACTGCTGCCAATGCATGATGATAAATACACACTTAGCACTGGGAACCTTATCTTTGGAGGCAAGAGATAACATGTAAACCTCATAGTAGGAGGAGAGAAAAAAGTTATCCCTCTCCAGCTGCAGATGTATATATTCATTTCTGAGGATATTGGTGCTGCACATATGACTTGAGATCTATGAAGTGTTTCAAAGACTTTGATAAAATAAAAGAACTTTCCAATAGAGTATCATCTCAGTGGGCCATTTCACTGGACCAAGAGAGAGTTCTGCAGAGGGGTAGGACAGAGGATTGCCACTGGCCAAAGCTCAGAAATACAAGAGGTTACATGTTGTAGATAATTTCTGGTCATTCCTGTTTAGAGTTACACATTTTTCTTTAAATTCCTTTTTAACTCTACCCCACAAGTATTAAGAATGAATGGATGGATAGATGATAGATAGATAGATAGATAGATAGATAGATAATAGATAATATTTTACTTTGTTGAATTATTAGTCAATGAGATATATGTTCTTCAGTTTATAACCATAAAAAAGGTGGTCTTTTTTCACCTCTCCAAATTGGTTTCTAACTTTATTTTCTTAAAAAAAATTGCATTGTGGTCAGAGAAATTCATTTGTATAATACCATTTATTTGGTCTATTGAAATTATTATCTTATTTTTAGGTTGGGATTTTATATATGACCAATAGATAAGTCTCTTAATCAAATTGTTCAAATCTTCTGCCTTCCTCCTGAATCGTATCACATTGATCTATAATTTTGAGAAAATATTCTAAAATCTCCTAACATTATTTTAGACTTATCTATTTCTCCTTATAATGATGTTATATTTTATTGAATAATTTGAGGTTTTGCCAGTAGTTGAATAATAGTACAGAATTCTTTATATCTCTCTAATGAATTGATCTTTTTATTACTAAATAATGGTCATCTGAATTACAGCAATGGTTTTTTCCTGAAAGTTTATTTTTTTCTGATATTAATATTGCTACACCATCTTTCTTTTGATTAGTAACTTTCTAATATATCTTTTCCATCCTTTAACCTTTAAACTTATTTGATCTGAAAACTTATTTTCTAATTCTGGAATATTTTTATCTGTCACCCTTTTTGTCTATTTCTTCTTTACTCTCTTAATTTTTCCTTTCTAGAACCCTCGTTAAGACATACTGGACCTTCCTAATCTGTCTTCTGTCTCTGTTAACTTTTCTTTTTCACATTACATTTTTATCATTATCATTTTGTGAGGTTATCTGGGTAATCTTTCTCAGGCCTGCTTTGTGATTTACTAATCTCTCTTCTGCCACTTCCCTAATCCTATGACTACAGATTTTTTAGTCATATTTTTTGTAAGGACACTTGATGTTTCAAGACTCAGATGAATCACTTGTACCTTTCTGCCTTTCTTATCCTGAAGGCCCCAGCTTCTGTCCCCATATAAAAAAGAAAACTCCAGGGTGCCACCTGTGGCTCAATGGGTAGGGCACTGGCCCCATATACCAAGGATGACAAGTTTGAACCCGGCCCCAGCCAAACTGCAACAAAAAATAGCTGAGCATTGTGGAGAGCGCCTATAGTCCCAGCTACTCAGGAGACTGAGGCAAGAGAATAGCCTAAGCCCAGGAATTGGAGGTTGCTGTGAGCTATGACACCACAGCACCTACTGAGGGTGATAAAGTAAGAATCTGTCTCTACCAAAAAAAAAAAAACCACAGTCCCAGCCTCAGGGCCATCTACCCCGGTGTGCTTCTGCTGACTATTTTCCATATTTGAGTTTCTTCCTTGATTCTGATACCTCAAGCTACTTTATTTTATTTGTATTAACCTTAATTAAATGTTCTTAAAATATATTTCTGATATATTTTTCCAGCATTTTTATGTGTTTGTATTAGGAAGGAGTCCTTTGTATTTAATTCATTCTTTTATATTCTTGGAAGTTTCATGCAAGTTCCTGACACATATAATGTAGCAATACTATTGTTTTGTGGGAGTTTTCTTTTTTAGTATTTAAGATTCAGTTTCTTCCAACAGTTTTGGCTCTGAAATGGTTTAGGAAAGCAAAAAGAATATATTCTAGAAGAAGTCTAGGTTCCAACCAGCACAGTACCAGACTCTTATAAAAATGTGAATATAGAAATGCTGTAGGGATATAGCATGTAAAGTTCTAGTTCCTTCCAAAGGAAGTTTAGATTCATTTTAAAGTATCATTACCTGGGTGAATATCAACATATGGGGCTCATTTGATCAAAACATGAAAATGATTGAGATTTTAAAATTGTTATGAAAACAGTCAGATTTCTGAGAGCTACTCCCATATTAGCCTTTCAGGTTTTAATGTTATGGTATCCTGAATGAGCCCCATGGAACTTTATCTCAGCATAGAAGAAATGAAAAAGCCAGTTGTTACCAACGTACATGTTACAATACACAAGAATGTAGTACTCTTTTATTTAAGCAATATGTATATATTTTTGATCTTCGTGGTTATGAAAAAACACACACACCCCTTTTAAAAGAAGCTACTTACAACTCTACAATTATCCAAAAGAATATAGCTATCAATTTATGGTGTTATAAAGTAGCTATATCCTAAGATACACTAGTGACATGGAAAATGGTGAGAGTTGGAGATAGTGGGCTACTTGGACTGGCTCTATTTTTTGCAAAATATCATTTGGGGTGTTTACATAACACAGTAATCTTTACCTCATTTGCTAGTGTTAGCTGGCTACTTTGGGTACTGTTTTATAAGACGGGGTACATGTGATTTTGTTATATGGCTTGCTTTTGTAAGGTTAAAGTCTGAGTTGTAGTTGTGTCCTCTGCCCAGGACCAGTAGGTGGGAATTTCCCCGTCCCTCCCCCCTTCTCCCCCAAACTTGAACTTGATTGCATTATTTTCACCTGCAAGCATTGAGGTGCTGATCTACCCACTCGCATTTAGTCCAGAGTTCTTGTGATGGTTTTTTTTCCACTCTCATGATATTTCACTTAAGAGAATGGTCTCCAGTTCCATCCAGATTATTAGAATAGATATAAGATTGCTATCTCTTTTATGACTGAGTACTATTTCATAGCATGCATATGCCACAATTTTTTAATCCTCTCATGAAAGGCACCTGGGTTATTTCCATGATTTTGTGATTGTGAATTGTACTAGTGTAAACATTTGAATGCAGGTGTCTTTATAATAAAATTCCTGTTTTTCCTTTGGGCAAATGCCCAGTAGCAAGATTGCAGGATTAAATGGTAGATCTATTTTTAGTTCTGAGATTCTATCTTTTCCAGGAAAGCCTGTTCTTGACAGTGGACCTATGCCAACCATGTCATTTCTCTATCATTTCTTTGATAGAAAACAAATGAGGTTGCCCTGTTTCTTCTAACTTTATCAGACTTTCCCCCTTTCATTTAGTAAGATCAAGTTGACAAGTAATGTTCAGGAAGCTTTCTGGGTTGGGCTGCCTCCTGCTGCTCCCCTCCTGTGCTGCAGGGCTTGGGTCTCTGGCTTCTCCTGCCCAATTTGCTCATTCACCATTAAAGAATGTCTCGGGGCTTCCGGAGAAGACTTGGGGCCTAATTACTGTAACTTTCAAGCAATTTAAATAATCGGACTTACTGTTGTGAAGTGCTTTATTCCAAGTTCCTAAGCGATGTAGAGAGTTCAGAAAATGTTTGCTTCCCTCGTGCATTTCAAGTCAGTAAAATCACTCTATCTCTTACCCTGCCCCCATCCTTTGTAGCTTAGAACAACGAAACTTGACTTTGGAAACAGAAATGATGAGCCTCCATGATGAACTAGATCAAGAGAGGAAAAAGTTTACGATGATAGAAATCAAAATGCGAAACGCTGAGCGCGCGAAGGAAGATGCAGAGAAAAGAAACGACATGCTGCAGAAGGAAATGGAGCAGTTTTTCTCCACGTTTGGGGAGCTGACAGTGGAGCCCAGGAGAACGGAGAGAGGGAACACAATATGGATCCAGTGAGGCTGCACTCTCCCGCTGTCTCCCACGGCTCTGGGAAGAACGCTGGGATTCTGGTGGGTGTTAACGTGGGATCAGGTGGCTGGTCACCTGGCTGTACAGAGCTCTAATTGGTGAAGGCGTATCATTTACAGACATTAATCATCCTTATCTGCAATGTGTACCAAAGTTATATCATGCCCCATAATGCTACTGTCAAGTGTTACAACTGGATATGTGTATAGAGAGTAGTTTTTAAAAAGTTAACTAAAAATGAGGAGCTTATTGCAAGAATTATTTTATTGCAAGTCTTGTATTTAAAATGTCAAATCAGTATGTGGTTGCAATTCAGCTTGCTTTCAAGCTTCACCTCTTGCACTTAACATGAGCTATTTTTGGCATTGTGTTATCATCAGCTTATTTTCTAGATCAATATTTTTATTTCCCTTTTTGCTGAAGAAATGAAGATAAGCAGAAATATAAATATATATAAATATATATAAGATGAATTATTAAAATTTAAAAAAATACTGTGTCTGTGCTATTTGCTCCAATAGAGCTGTGTAGTTTCTGAATATAGTGGAATCAGCCAGACCCTTGAACTGCTTTTTTAATTCTTCTCTGCACTGTTCAGTTGTGCTTTGTGAGATGTTTAAAGTAGGAACTATGCATCTGTCTCAGAAAGTCCCCGTCTCAAGCCCCCTGCTACCTTGCCAGATCCTTAGATATGTGTCTCTTACAGGGGAAAAACAGCAAGATGGCATTTTCCCAGACATGCCTTGACTGACTCTGTCCTCTGGCCTGAATCTCTATACCCATAACCGCTGGATGGCTATTAGAGGAATCCTTCCTGCTGTTTGGAAGTTGGGGAACAACCCTTGCCAAACCCACCATGGCTGTATAAGCACCTGTCACCCCTCAGAGCCCTCTCTGCCCCCTCCACAGTTGCACTTTTGAGTAGCAGCAGTAAAATGGCGCTACTGTGTCCCTCTCAGTGAAACCACTGGAGTACGTGACATGCTTCTCTCCCTTAGGCTGTTGCCCGCTGGGATTCTCTCTGCACTGTAGCTGGCAAAGGCATTTTGCAGCAAGAAGAAGATGGGGAGAGGGGACGGCAGAGGAGAGAAGGCCCAGAGGAGAAAGGGAAAAGTGTGGAGAAAACAAACCAATTTTGCTTCTAATTTTGACAATGTGATGCTTCTCTGTTGAAAACACATTGATTTACAATAGTTTTAAGTCACAAATGCTTGATGGTCCAATTTTGACAAATATACGAGCATTGATAATGTTAACTTTCTAGGAAAACCAAGGACTAGAATTTTGGGAGAATAATTCTTCACATTTCAAAAAGACAATGATTTTGAGTAGCCAGGAAAATAAATCTCACACTAGCGCAAAGAAACACAAAAGGTATCCTTGGGAATAAAGACTACACAGTTAAGTTTATGAGATTTGTGTCGTCTAAAGGTTGTAAGTTTGCATGTGTTCATTTGTTTTCATGGGGGACGTGGTCTCCACAGCATTTGTTCTTGGCACTGTCCTGCTTTTCTTTCTACCTGGCCATGGAGCAAACGCAACCCGGACCTTGAGGATAATCAGTATCTATACGGCCCTAGCTCCTTTATCTTTAGTTCTACTCTGCAGTTATTTAACTGGATACTTCCACATGGGTATCCCATAAAATCCAAACTTGAAATGTACATGATGGATCTCAATAGCTTTTTCCTGTACACTTTTTCCTCATTTTCCAGTCCTTATCTTAATTAACGAAATCCTCAGACTCATCCAGAAAGCTATACGAGGCAATAGTAATAAACGTTAGGCAGTCGGACTGCTCTCATTCAAATCCCCTGTGATTTTCTAGCTGTTACTGAACCTCCCATGCACAGATTTTTCTCTGTGCCATTAGAATAATAAAAATGCTACCCGCATAGCCTTGCTACGTGGTCTTCACTGGATGATTTGTGTTAGGCTGAGCACAGCAGCTATATTCAGGAAGGACTCCATAAATGTCCGCTCTTATTCCTACTCTGCCCTTCTCTTCACTCCCAAATTTGCTCACCAATTGGTCTATTCCACGCATCACTGGCTTTTTAATCTGCTTATTCAATCAGTCTGCCTTCGCCTTCTGATGGATACATCCTGCCCACCCTGTGTTCCAGTACCACTCTCTACAGTGGTCTTCTGACTATACCTTGGCCTTGATAATAACTTTTGATGACTCTCATTTACTGATGACAAAGCCCTTCATATAGCATAGAAGACTTATGTTCAGTTTAATTCTCATCTCCTACCACTCCCCACCACACCTTCCGGGCCTTTCCATGCCTCTACAATGCTCGCGTGCCATTGCCATGTCCGTCTTTTTGCCTTCCTTCCATCTGACACACTCCAACCATTTTTAGGAACCATTTCGATGTCAGTTCCTCCAGGAAGCTTCCTAGAGTCTCTGCTTAAAGCAGTTAGTCGCCTTGGGCTTTCACTTCACGCATATCTCTTTTAGCCTCTCTCACCTCTGTTTATTGTCTTCCCCAAATGTGAAGCAGTGTGGAGGACAGCATGGGGGAGTGGAAATGAGAGCAGCTCCGACTTAGCGGTGCATCTCCACGTGCCCTACGGGAGAGGCCGGGCAAGGGCAGTCACTGAACGCCTCTGACCTCATCTGCAAAGGGAAACACTGGCTCCTACAAAGTAGGCGTGTCGTGGTGCTTAAAAGTGGGGTGTAAGGTGTCGATTCCACGGCCGGCCCCTGCTCCACTGACAGCTCTGTTGATAAATGGAGCTCCTCAAGGGACCAGAGTTTTATTTTATTGAACTTAAATCCCTCCCTATCTGTGTCTTATGCCAAACAGAGTGTCAGCACAGAGAATCAGCAATAATTTTTTGAATGAAAACATACACATGTGCACACAGAGAATGTGTTATTCAGCCTTTGATATTTGAGACATGCTGTTGTTAATTTGAAGTGTCAATCTCGGTAACAATGACCTCTAATGGATGGATAACATGAGCGGCCTGTTCATCTGGCTTTCCGTTACTCTAGCTAAAAGTCTAGACCCAAAAAAAAAAAAAAAAAATCAACTGCAAATTAACATAAGAATAAATTAAGAATGAGAAAGTAGGAGGTAGAAAGAGTTCCTCGGCTACATCTTCATTAACATTATTTAGGTAATTAACATGAATCCTAAATTATAATTTCAAGAGGAAAAGTTTGAGTCCTGGTGTTGGGCGACTGTGCTACTTCACTAGTCCAACCATGCGGTGAGGTGAAGAATATTTAAAATAGAATTGCCTATGACATCAGGCCCTCTGAAACATGGATTTTGTATGTAACATTTGAAATAACTTAAAACTCCAGGTGGAATGACTTATTCCTTTTTATTCACATGTTGGAGTTTCCCTCAAAATAATCAGAACATTCCCAGGTAGAATAGTTTATAATGATATAATTATGTCACCCTGAAAATTCAGGTGAGCATTAAAGAATGTGATGCTGGCCACAAACCCCTCCTTACGCTGCACCCTGATTAGAGCCACATCTTAGAAAGGAACGTTCCTTAGCTTTAGAATTAGAAACCTGGGTTCAAATCCCAGCTCTGCCGCTTCATAGCTGTACCAACTTGTTACATAATGTTTGCAAGCTTGAATATGTGCTTCCCGGAAGTAGTGATAATTGTGCCTCCCTTATCATAGTTTTTTGAGGACTGGGTAAGATAAAATGATTAACACCATGCCTGGTGCATAGTGAGTGCTCACTAAATGGGAGTTGTCAGCCCTCAAATTACCTCTGTTCCAAACATATTCTTTCTGCCAAAGAACATAGCAAGGTCTGGCCTTAGGAATTTCACCTGCAGTGAAAGAGTATTGTACTCACCAGCATAGGACATAATTATCACCCAGTCCCGGGGAATCCAATTTTATTTGCGCCCAGATAATCTGCCAGAAATTGTTGGTAAGGAGAGAAACCTGAAGCATCCCTTCTCCTCTGACATAACAGAGTTCCACTCATGACCTGAGAAAAGTGTCTAAGGAACCACCTGTAACTGTCCTTCATCAGCTCTGTCCATGTCCCCACTCAAGATGGTGCTGGGGGTTAAAGGCATCAGGCAAAACACAGTGACGGAGTCTGGGGATGTGGACAGGGAACTGAAGGCTGTGGACTGGTGCTCAGTTGTACGGCAGCCACACTCATTACCACGTGATATGATGTACTATGAAGCAACTTCAGCATCACGCGGTGAAGCTGGGGACGGCCTTGCAGAGCCATGACCGTGATCTGAGTCCTCGGTGAAGTGTAGGAAGTCAGCCGGGTGGCAGTTTTGGTAAGGGGCCTTTCTTGCCCATGGAACAGCACGTGCAAAAGTAAAATCAGGAAGACCCCAGGGAGTCTTTTCAATGAAATCAGAATGACCTATGCAGCAAGGTGGCATTGTTCCGGCCTTGTTAAGACCCGGAGGCACACTGAGCGCTGCTGAGCTGCCGCTCTCTTAGTCAAAGAAAGCAGCCACGCTGAAAACGCTTTGCCTTGTGTGAAGTCACAGACCACCGGAAAAGAATGCTGGAGCTGCAGCTCCCACAGCTCTATCTCGTTATTCTCTTTATGGTCTTCCTAATTGCACAC